TAGCTTTTTCTATTGTTTTTGGCTTGAAATAGCATTACTTTAATTTCTAATTACGATATTTATTGGAAATGTCAAACATCGACACTTTTTAGCAATACCTTAATTTTAGTGTTAAGTCGACATTTCAAAAAAGTCTTAAATTGAGAAATATGACTCCTTTTCCGATGCCAGCGCTAGTGGGAGGTCAAAGGACCCTCACAGTAATACTTTTTCACTTCTCCAAGCAATATACACACATTATCGACATATAAATAAAAATGTAATACCCGAAACGTTTCGGGTGTTACAGTTTTTAATCAAGAAAGAAACATACTAAATTAGTATCATGCTCAGATATTAGTTACTATTTGAAATCATTACTACCATGACCTTACTTTTACCAAATATTGTTACCCTAATCCATGTGTAAGGTACAATAATAAAACAAATACCTGTTTTTCTGTTTCGGGTGTTACATCGCCGAAGTAACAAGAAAACACACTTAAAACTTGATGATTATCCATTTTTTTGGGACTATGACGCTATCTACCAATACTATGATAAATACCCTCGAATCATATAGTGGCAAAACGTTTCACAGATTGATAGTTTTTTTAAAATCGTATTACCAATAATTAGAGAGAAAATGATCATTCAGACAGTTGACTTAAGTATAGACTTTGAAGACTAATAACTTAAAAATTACTTGTTTCTTTCAGATTTTTTTTGTTGCACATTATAATTTGGAATGTTTACTTTCAAAATTCATCAGATTTAATGCGAAAAGAACATATTTAGTTTTTCACCCTCGGTAACATTTGTCATGGAATGACCCAGTACTTTCCCTCCAGGTGGCATTACAAAATTCCACCCTGTATATTGGCGTGCGTATCGGGCTTGGTACCTGTCGCGTCGTAGCTCCAGAAGGCGGCGTGCGCGAAGGGCGCGGGCGGCGCGAAGGGCTCGGCGCGCGCCTCGAACTGCGCCCAGCCCTCGCCGCCGCCGCCGCACGACCCGCTCTCCCACGCTGCGGGACAGAGACCAGATAATTATTAATATTTTGGTTGAAGCCACGATCGGACTGGACGACTTGTCCTCCGAGAAACGCGGGTTCGAACCCCGCTGCCGCTCGACTACTGTCGTGAGCCCACACCTGACACACGCATATTTAGCTTAGTACGAGGGGCTAACGTGACTTAGGCCCAGTTTTTTGATTCATAGTTAAAATAACAAATTGTTAAATTTTGCTACTAATGGTTAAATATTAACAAAATGTTAACTGATAGTTAAAAAATGTACTAAAAGTCAAGCTAACCATTGTTCAAAAAACATTTTTTTCTGATATTTAACCACTTGTCATTTGACATCTGTCAAATTTGACTATTGGTTATTTTATAGCCTGACCAGGAACATAAAAACCCTCGCCATGTTGCGGAAAACTAATGGTACTAATTTCTTTTAATGGCAACAGTAACTGAAAACTTCATTGACATGTCACCTTGCATGTCAGTCTATTGCTGTCAAAGTGTAAACAAACTTTATTTTAAATGTGCGCAATTGATTTTGTGAATTAAATTGCTAAAATATTTTTATAGTCGTAAAAGAAAAGTGGTTCACAATGTGTTAAAGTATTTGTCGAAGAGAAATACTAAGGGTTCGGACAATATTTTCATTGAATAATGTTTCCGACAAAGGTTGTCAAATTGACTGACATTTTTATCGTATAGTACAGTCCACTATGAAAATTAGATGTGGTTTGTTTCAAATACCTATTTTAAAGTTTTTTGTCACTTTCTAAGTGTTGAATTTTATGGAATTGGGAAAGAAGTACCGAGTTTGAAGCGTTCATGAGCAGACATTGCAGTTGAATATTCAAGTTCTGAATTTGATTATTGATGAATAATAAAATAAATCCTACTAACTCGATTGATGGTTTCATTTAATTTGTTTAAACCAGGTTACCTATAATAATATTTTTTCGTTTATTTATGAAAATATCAAATTAGCCCGTAATCCTGAATCCTGATACATAAAGTTAGCCTATTAAATTAACACAGATACGACTGTACTCAGTGTTGCACTATCAAATGCAATTGAAGCGCCTCTATGCCAGGGTTTTTATGTTCCTGGTCAGGCTATAACTACGAATCAAAAAACCGGGCCTTAGTAATTTATGCAAACATAAATTACTATATTATTTATAACAAATAAATAAACAAATATCTACTTTATCGAAATGGCACTATGGCAGGCGCCTAGCTTATGGGCGTGTAATATTCATATTAGATACAGTGCTATTCACGCCTGGAATTCTCCATAATCTCATACAAATATTGCACGCGTGGGTGTAGCTTTTAGGAGCTACCTTTTTTACTGTATTTGACGTTCAGAAGTGCCACCAGTGGTCAAAATTGAATAAATTATTTTTGATTTTAATTTTTGTAGGGCTCATCATATCGTAATGAAATTTTGTGTCAGCGCACATTGACGACACGCGACAGCGACAGTTCGGCGACTAGACGCTTATTCTAGAAAAATTCATATATTAGCGACTCTGGCACCAAGTGTGCGAAGAATTGAACAAAGTCTACACATACATTTAGGCGGATAAAGCGCCAGAAACCACATTCTAAAAAAAATAAACAACAAATATGCTTACGCGAGTGTTGGTCGAGCAGCTCGCGCACGCGGCTCATGGGCTCCTCCGCCTCCTCCGCGCCCTCCGCCTCGTCCGCCTCCGGCGAGTCCTCCCACATGCTGGAACAGAAGCCTTTGTTAAAGTCATAAGTTTATTCCATTTAAAAACAATATACATTGTGTTGGAAATAGGTACAATAATAATATAAACATAATAAATAAGCATGCAAAATTACAATTAATCAGAATCTATACTAATGTCAAAAATAACCATGTCAATAGCAATTATACTTGCAAATTAAAAAAAGAAAAAAAAAACAAATTAAAAATATTTTCTTATACTATGTCACATTTTTTTTTAATTCAATGTAGTTCATATTGAATTCAAATTCATTTCAATAATGTCACAACAATAAATCCTCTTTGAGTTATCCCCAGGCCCCTCTTTCCCACTGGACACTCTGGGCACGTGCCTAGGGCCCCGCGATCGAAGAGACCTCCGTCTGTTCTCATAAAAGACCTTTCTCCAGATGAGAAGGGCCTTCCTTGTGTCCAGAGCCCCTAGTAGGTTAAAGACGGCCCTGGTTATTCCATAAAACAAGAAAATACAGCACAAATAAAATAATCAAACTTAAGCGCCAGTGAGATATTCGAATCGGTTGGATGAGACTGTTGAACTGAAACTAATTTGATGGCACACTCACTCGTCATCGAACCGTTGACTCGCCAGCTCGAGGAAATTGTTCTTGGAGTCGTCGCCCTGGAACGAATGACACGCGGACACTTTAATATTACATAAGTGAAGCTCAAGGAGTAACAAATTGGCAATATCAAATGCTAAATTATACCTTTTCTCCGTCTTCAAGATCCAACTCGTCGGCCAAGAAGTCCGCAGAATCATTTGCGCCACACATCTGTAAACGTAATTGATTTTCCATAAAGGTCTTAAACAAGAAAAACCATAAGTACCTATTTGTGGATCTTTATTACCTCATTATAAGCATCTGCGTTGATGTCATTCGGCATATCGTCCAAACTCGCCGTCGCCGTAACGTCATTGAACTGATAAAATAAATGATAATGGTTAGTTTTAAAAAACACAAAGCAAAACATATTATACTTCCGATCATCAGGAGAAGAATAATAAATAACTAACCTCGTAGATGCTTTCTGAAGGATAATATCCACCCTGTAACAAAATAACTTTATAAATATTTTAGGACTTTTCTATTCTATGTAGGGAACTATTAATTCATCACGCTGGTACCGACGCAAGATGTAAAGAAATAGATTACAATACAATAACGCCCTCTAGTGGAAATCGCGGAAGGCGGCCCGCACTTTTGGGCGCTTCCGGTATTGCCGGTCCCGCACTATGAGGGGCCAGGTCCACGCTTGGGGGGGCCAGGTCCACGCTTTTGGGGGGCCCGACCAGCGCTTGTGGGGGGCCAGACCAGCGCTTGTGGGGGACCAGGTCCACGCTTGTAGGGAGCCAGTCCCACGCTTGGGGGGCCATACCCACACATACGGGCCAGACCCCCGCTTAAGGGGGGCTTGGGGGCCAAAGCCCACACTAATGTGGAGCCAGGACCGCGCTCGGGGGGCCAGACCCACACATAGGGGCCAGACCCCCTCTTAGGGGGGGGGGGCAGCCCCACGCTTGGGGGCCAAAGCCCACACTAGTGTGGGGCCAGGACCGCGCCCGGGGTGCCGGGAGTGACTCACCAGCGGCGTGTCGTGTCGCTGCAGCAGCGGCGCGAGCGTGGCGTCGCGGAAGGCGGCCCAGCGCTGGGCCACGGGCGCGGGCAGCGCGGCCGCCACCGCCTCCTCCTCCAGCGCCTTGCCCACGCGCCGCAGCATCAGCACCACGTGGCCCATGTACCCGTCGCGCGGCTCGCCGGGCCTGAACCACAAGAAGTGTGACAGTCAACAAGTGTGGCGCGGTGGAGTGCAAACTGCCCTAGGCAGCCGCAATGAGGGCTATCGTTTTAGCGCTCACCAGTTAGCGCCACTGTAGAGTAAGGTCCTGTCACTTGCTAGTAGCGAAGACAGTGGCACCAACTGGTGAGCGCTAAAGTGGTCAGAGGAATATCGCATTTGCACTCATCAAGATGGCGCCACTGTAGAGTAAGGTCCTGTCAACCGCCAGGGGTGCCAACTGTTAAGTATAAAAACAATAGCCCTCATTCCGCGCACACCTTCCGCGATTCGGCCAGTATAACCGCGAGGTTGGTATGGCCATGGGTGGTGGTGGGTTGGGCCTGAAGCACTAATATGTTTTTAAATTGATAAAACCTGTCCTCTAGAGATATTTGCTTGAAGGTGTTGCCTGACAGAACAATTTAGCTTAAGTATTAATTAAATATGAACAGAATTATTATAAATCGAATTTATCGAACCAAGAAAACGATTCCTATAAGTAGCAGAATGCGTCTATACTTCGTCAATAATTCGAGATCACAACGTTTTTACAAAGATGCTTCATTCTTTTTTATTAAGATTTTTGGTTTCATTGTAAATTAAAAAAAGTAGTTTGAATTCACAAAAGAGTGACGTCACTTGCTTGTATTGCCATACAAAATCTAAGGGAAAGTCTCGTTTTGACAATTAAAAAGTACGTCAGTTGATTAGTGGTGTCAAATAGTCTATTGATAAAAACCTGCCCCGTAGACAAGCAGCAAAATGTGACAGCTGTAGTTACTTCGCGAAGGGATTTCGAAATGATCACTGCCACTTGTCTAGGGGGGATGAAATATATTTCAGGGCATCGTGCCCCGTGGCAACTCAGCTAATCAACGCTAAATTTTGTCAGTGTGTGCGTGCGCGCCGCATACGTATCGGCGCGCTCACATACAAACCGCGCTCGGGCGTTTCTATGAAGATGAGCTACTCATTTGTATTTACTCTGACAGCACTTAGGCCGGGTTCCCACTATGCCGGACTGGCAGATCTCCCGGTCCGGTAAAATCGCCGGAAGGCCTAGCGGCGGTACAAATTGTATGAAGCTGTTCACATTATCCCGGATCCGGCTGTTTCGCCGAGCCCGGCATTTTTACCGAGCGTTTTGTCAAAGTCAAAGTCAAAGTCAAAATTTCTTTATGGGTCATTCCATAAAAATCTGTATATTTTCGACGTAATTTTGTCCGTAACTTTTTTAAGATGCTTTTGAATACTTTATTAGTGTAAATTATAGGTTATTAGTTAATTATGTTATGTCTAAAAGGGCCAGTCACTTTATGCTTTATTTTAGGAGAAATTATAATTTTCAATTTTTTCATACTACATTACTCCTATATGACTTCTAATAAAGTATAAAACTTATAACCTTAAAATTTACAGATAAGTTAATATACATAATGTAGTTGTTTTGTTATTATCACTATATAAAAAACATCATTCCCTAACTAGTAATTTAGTCCCAAGTGCCGTTTAAAGCTAGGGCCTGACGCTCTAGGGACTGACGATTTGGAGTAAAACTTAACACAAATGCAGATTAACTTTATATTATAAGATGCTTAATACGATGTGCCGAAAATAGCCAAAAAACCACACGTAAATACTAGCCATCGCTTCACTCGACCATATTAGAGGGAATGTAACGACCCGCCTCACTACGCTACTGTCGCTACACAATGCCGGCAAAATCACCGGACCGGAGTAATGTGAACGAGTTGCGGCCCACCCCGCCGCGCCCGTGCTTCCCGCCCCGCCCCGCCCGTGCTCCCCGCACTTCATTCGGCTCGGATTTCGGATCCGGTGATCCGGTGTCCGGTTTCCGGCAGAAATGCCGGTCTGGCATAGTGGGAACCCGGCCTTACCCTTTAGCGTCGTTGAGCTCGACGGCATCCATGAGGCGCGCGAGCAGGTGGGCGTCGCGCAGCAGATGGCGCGCGTAGGCGGCGCGGTGCGCGCGGTTGGCCAGCGCGTGCTTCACGAGCGCGTGCACCTGCGCGTGCAGGAAGTTGTTGTGCGCGTGCGCGAACATCATGTCCAGCAGCACGCCCGGGGTGCCTGCGCGGAACGGTCAGTGGGTGTGAGACGAGGACGTTGTTTCGGAGCCTCAATTTATTTATTTATTAGGTACACCAACAAAGTCACATACATATCATACATTTTAACATGGTTTAACACATGATGCGTATATGACCTCAATTACAGGTATACACAGCACTTCTTTTTGCAATGTTAGGGAACTTATACACTAGAAAAAACAAAAATCAATTGAACAGGGTTTAAGCACCGAACAATATAAAGGATTTAGTAATTGTTCATTTTGTTCGGTGCCTAAGTCGTGTCAAATACAGGCTTGAATTTGACTTAAATTTAGGGAGGCCGTCACCGAAAACGTCAAGACCGGTATCTGTGTCTGGATTGCCAGCCACCACTTTATTATACGTTGCACACAACCGGTTAAGTGGCGAGTTATGGAAGCGAGGGATGTGAAAAAGGTCTTTACAGAGATAGCGAAATTCAAACGGGTACGGAGCGGGTACCCGTTCTAAACGTCCGCGGCTATCGATGCACGAAAATATACACCCACCACCCGCTACGCGTGTGCAAACGCATGCGCGCCACTCGCGTGCGCACGAGTTGTGGCGCAGGCTCTTTAGATATACCTAGCGTAGCGGCCCTATCCCAGCTACAAGTAGATCAATATATTATTCAATCACAAAAAAGGATACATGAGAGTTGATTAAATCGGTCCAGTAGTTTCAGTACAAAAATACAAATATTTTCTCTTTATATTAGTTCGCGTTAATATTAAAAGTGCCGGCTCCAGCAGGCCTGGTGCCGCGGCCGCTAGAGACATGCGGCACTGACCCAGCGTGAGCATGGTGGCGGCGACCTCCTCGACCTCGGAGAGCGCGAGGTGCGCCAGCAGCGCGGCCACCTGCACGCGCGGCAGCCCCACGCCGCGCGCCGGCTCCAGCAGGCCTGGTGCCGCGGCCGCTAGAGACATGCGGCACTGACCCAGCGTGAGCATGGTGGCGGCGACCTCCTCGACCTCGGAGAGCGCGAGGTGCGCCAGCAGCGCGGCCACCTGCACGCGCGGCAGCCCCACGCCGCGCGCCGGCTCCAGCAGGCCTGGTGCCGCGGCCGCTAGAGACATGCGGCACTGACCCAGCGTGAGCATGGTGGCGGCGACCTCCTCGACCTCGGAGAGCGCGAGGTGCGCCAGCAGCGCGGCCACCTGCACGCGCGGCAGCCCCACGCCGCGCGCCGGCTCCAGCAGGCCTGGTGCCGCGGCCGCTAGAGACATGCGGCACTGACCCAGCGTGAGCATGGTGGCGGCGACCTCCTCGACCTCGGAGAGCGCGAGGTGCGCCAGCAGCGCGGCCACCTGCACGCGCGGCAGCCCCACGCCGCGCGCCGGCTCCAGCAGCGCCTGGTGCAGCAGCGGCAGGTGCGGCGCCACCGCCAGCTCCACGCTCGTGCGCATCGACTCCGCCTCGCCGCCGCTGCGGGAACAAGGCTACATGTCATGTAGGCTGTGACATAACGGCCGGTTCACACATGTCACCGTTTTACTGTTCCGTTTTATCGTGTACGTTTTTTTTTTCGTCGATGTATGTATTACTGTATACAGAATACTGTGTCATGTGTGAAGTCGCACATACAACTGCATACGCCATCGACGAAAAAAAAACGTACACGATAAAACGGAACAGTAAAACGGAGACCACACATGTCACAACCGGCCGTAACGTGCGCGCCGAGTTAAAAAAACCACGTCTATAGTCTGGTCTCTCAACACGTAGAATTTTGTCCAATGACCCCGAGCTACCCATCCTTATTGCTCGCGCGTAATTATATTGCTGTCGCGACTGTGCGACGCGCGCCCGCAGTGCGTGTGCGAGGGCAACAGCAACATAATTACGCGCGAGCGATAAGGATGGGTAGCTTGTGGTCATTGGACAAAATTCTACGTGCTCAGAGACCGGGCTTTAGAATTCTAGATATAACAAAAAGCGCAACGCCGGCGCCCGACACCGACGGGTACTCACAGGATGGGCTCCTGGTCGAGCAGCGCGAGCAGCACGTGCGCGCCGTGCACGAGCGCGTGGGGCCGCGCGCGCGGCGGCGCCGTGAAGATGCCCTGCAGCAGCAGCCGCGCGCCCTCCGCGCTCTGCAGCCGCGACACCAGCGCCCAGCTCGTGCGCGGCCTGCCGGCGACACAGTGAGTTAGTGCCTTTTCACACGTTCCGGTTGCCGGCTATCCGGCGCCGGGTACCCGGTCGTGAATGTATGGGCATGCCGGATTAATTACGCCGGAACATGTGAAAGCTACGTACCATGCCCATACACTTCACTACCGGGTACCCGGCGCCGGATAGCCGGCAACCGGAATGTGTGAAAAGGCACTTACGATACCGAACTACGACGACCTAAAGGCTGAGCTAAACCATCGCGCACGCAAACTGCCCGCGTTGGTTTGACCGAACCTTTAATTATAACGCGGTGAACTCACTCTTAACACAAAAATAACAAATGTTTACGATCACGGCGACCGTCCGCTTTGTATTGTACGCTATCGGATATTGGATAACGAGAACGCTCGCTACGAATATACCAAATCTTACGGTGTACACATGACGAAGAAAATCCATCGACCGCCGGGCCCACCTTACTTTCACTAGCACATGATGGGTTTAGAATTCAAATAATGGCACTGAATCACCGAAACGTCCACTTATTTTGCATTTCTTACTTATGCATCGCAAACGGGTGCAGCTTATCTCAAGAAAATAAAAAAAAAGTATCGGGTAGGTTCGCGCGTCACCTAGCATCGGCGCGTAGTTCAAAGAGACGTCTTTTGGCGCAAGTACGCTATGCGGAAAATTGGTCGAGACGTAATAGTGTAAACACGCACTTCAGTTAGTTTCGCCGTGAGTTGCCCATACTTCGGTGTGCCTGCTCGTGCGTACTCGCGCTTCGTCTCGGGTAATTTCCCGCATAATGTACTTGCGCCATTAATTTTACATTCCAAAGTCAAAAGATCGCTTTGATATGAATAAAATAAAATCATTATCGATAATGAAAAGAAAGAATTCCAATCAACGTTGGCCACTTTTTTCACGTATGTAGGTAGGTACACTGTAATAAAATGGCCAGTACATTTAAATTAAACACCGTCAATGGCGGTAAGCATATTGCTAAATGGTAGGTTTTACGTAAAAAAAATATATTGAAATACATACTAATTATGTAAAAATAACTAAAAAGAATAAAGATTACCTCAACATTATCGATCTTGGCTAACAAATTAAAAAGACACTCACTTCGCAGCTTCAGAATTATTCTTCCTCTACAATCACGTGTATTTTAATAAATCAATCCAATGGTGGGCCCGCCTTACCATTACTTTCACAAGGACTGGCTAGGTTTTCGAGTCAAATTATAGCAGTAAATCACTAAAACGTTCACGTATTTTACACTTTTTACAAATTTTATGCGACGCGAACAGGCAACGTTCGCGATCCCAACGGAACAGAAAAAGTTTCGAGTAGGATCGCGTCGTCACTCGTCATTGGCTGCGAATTGGCGCGGAATTCAAAATTCGAATCAAGACAAGCGTTCCCGGTCATGTGATTCGAAATTGGAATATTGGAGTTTTTTTTTTGTTTATGGTTCTCGCAGATTGCGTTTAGCCACGACAGGGTCAGGGCATTCATTTTATAGATGTATTGTATAGCCTGACCAGGAACATAAAAACCCTCGCCATGTTGCGGAAAACTAATGGTACTAATTTCTTTTAATGGCAACAGTAACTGAAAACTTCATTCACATGTCACCATGCATGTCAGTCTATTGTTGTCAAAGTGTAAACAAACTTTATTTTAAATGTGTGCAATTGATTTCGTGAATTAAATTGCTAAAATATTTTTATAGTCGTGAAAGAAAAGTGGTTCACGATGTGTTAATGTATTTGTCGAAGAGAAATACTAAGGGTTCGGACAATATTTTCATTGAATAATGTTTCCGACAAAGGTTGTCAAATTGACTGACATGTTTATCGTATGGTACAGTCCACTATGAAAATTAGCTGTAGTCTGTTTCAACTACCTATTTTAAAGTTTTTTGTCACTTTCTAAGTTTTGAATTTTATGGAATTGGGAAAGAAGTACAGAGTTTGAAGCGTTCATGAGCAGACATTGCAGTTGAATATTCATGTTCTGAATTTGATTATTGATGAATAATAAAATAAATCCTACTAGCTCGATTGATGGTTTCATTTAATTTATTTAAACCAGGTTATCTTTAATAATATTTTTCGTTAATTTATGAAAATATCAAATTAGCCCGTAATCCTGAATCCTGATACATAAATTTAGCCTATTAATTTAACACATGTACGACTGTACTCAGTGTTGCACTATCAAATGCAATTGAAGCGCCTCTGTGCCAGGGTTTTTATGTTCCTGGTCAGGCTATATATTCATTTTATAGTATGTATTGTATAATTTATTTTTTTATTTATCCTCGTAAGACCGAAGAGTAAATTTTGTCGACTTCTAAGTATCGCCGAATGTGCTTTCAGAAGAACGAATAATTTGAAGTAGTAAACGCCGAGCACTTCGAGTAAAAAAATTTCTATGTTAGAGATTTTCTTTTGCATTCATATTTTCAGGGGCCCTATATAACAGTGCATAGAGCTTATTTGAAAATGATAAATAACTTGAAAAAATCGAATTGCCTAAGGCGGGAATTGAACCCACGACCTTCCGCTTGCCGGGCGACTGCTCTTCCAACTGAGCTACTTAGACACTGGATGAACCCGTCGAAATTTTCAAGTGTATAGAGCTTATTTTAGGTGAAAAATAATAAAAAAATGTTTTCTCTTAAAAGAACATTCGGTATTACAGACTTTAAAAAGGAAAAGTAAATAAATTGTATTTCATACTTTAAAGTAAAGCATAAATGTAACCTTCTTAATAAATTAATACTACATAAAGATACAATAATGATATTAATAAATGTAACTGAAAAGGTACAACGGTTTTTATTTTATTTAATGTTTCATAATTAGTACTTTTAAAAGTACTATCGGTTTTATAACATACACTAATGATAGGTTAGAATGTATATAAGAAAGAAATAAAGTGAAAATTCATGTTAATTATAATATTTACTAAATTAAAAATCAGAACTTTATCATGGTAAATTTTCTCAATCAAATCTTAATTTTAAAAGTCCAATACTCAATTCCATCTCAATAGAAAAAAATTTACAAAAATAAAACTTTCACCATCAAGACCGAATGTTCCTTGCAAAGAACTATTATTTTCAAACGAAAAAAAATCTTACAAAACTACTTCAAATTGGGAAAAATAATTTTTTTGCTTGTTTAGCAGTATTTTCACTTAAATTATTCTGATCAGTTTTGCAATTAAACTACGTTAACGCGAAGAAAAAAAATTATTCGCACATCACGTCTTCTCGGACGAACCACCTTGTCAAAGGAAAATGATAATTTGACAGTGACGTTTTGTTTTTTTTATATTAATAAGTTTGGATACCTGATTTTGAATACTTTAAGCCATAGACTATCACTCTTTTTTTCGATAGGCGCGAATTTTTGAACTTAAATTTATCGCTAAAGTTTTAGTTCCTCTGAAGGCACATCCGGCGATACTTCGAAATCACCTCCGAAAATGTCTCGGCGTTACTGACTACAAAGTTTTAGTTCCTTCTGATGCACATCCGGGCTTACGAGGTTATAACGAACAGTTTCCCAAAAGATAAGTATATTTGTTAGGCAGTAGCCTAAGGTTGAGGTCAAGTGGAAAGAGGGGAGCACTTTGTGATATTATGTACTTTAGTGTTTCATAGTGTCTCGTTTTCTATAAAAGTTAATTAATATTGAAATTTATAATTAATTTGATATAAAATTCCTAGTTGGTTTTTTATCTTACGAATTTAATTTAATTAGTCATGAACGTGTCAACATTTTTATGGGCCACGATAAAATGTCCCAGTTAGGAAAAAGCCTGGATCTTATTTATTATTATGATAAATATTACCTGTCTTATTAATCTTGATGCTGGGTTTATAACTTACTACAAATTCAGTGGGTACTGGGTACTGTCGACCATTGCTTATAGTCAAAACTAGGCTAAAATTTTTAACGAAATTTTACAAAGGACACATCGTGTCAAGTTGTTTTTTATAAATTGAATAATTAAACCCAATGTTATCGAATGCAATGTATATTTTCTTTCTTCTTTTCAGACCACTTTTTAACGAATCACTAATAACCTTGTTTGTGATAAGCCCCACTCGTAACACAGGCATATTTAACTCTGCTCGTGTTACGAGTGGGCTCATCACAACAGTCGAGCAGCGACGGGTTTCGAACCCGCGTTCGTCAGATGTACTAATAGTCCTGTTAGGATCTCGCACTAAGTTCAATATGATCGGGTAACGAGCGAGCTAACCACAATAGTCAATTATGTTGCATTTTTTACTATAAAATTATCACTCCACGGGATTTTACAACAACCGTATCTCTTCAGTCTGCCCGCGACCATAACTCGTGCAACCGAGTCGAAACATCGGGAGAGCAAATATTTTATTTACCGTTATAAAAGTTTTGTTGTAAAATCCCGTGGAGTGATAATTGTATATGTTACGGTCAATGTGATAAATGTGAAAATTATGAATAATCGCCGGTTATTATGAATAATTACCTCATGATTTGGTAAAAGTGATTAATATGAGATCATTTATGTGTGTATAAAACTAAATAGGCGGCTTAGGGGTGGCACCCTAACCTATTTTTCACTTTAAATCAAAACAATATGTTATGGGCATTATAGCAAATTAATGTTACGCAAGAAACAGTCCAAAATCATTATTTATTTTATTTATTTACACTTTTGCACATGTATATGTACAGTGGCGGACTTAATGCCAGGTGGCATTATCTGCCAGTCAACCACAGGTCGAGTAGAGAGACTAAGGCGGTGTAATAAATATGACGTTTAATTAATATACTTACACAGCATTAGATAAAATAAATAACATACGAATACATATTAATACAGTGTGAGTCACGTTAAAGTGTACATATGAAAATAGATGAAACTAGACCTATTTTTATCGACAAAAACGAGGTCAAAAATTTTTTGAGATTTTTTATAAATTTTTTATAGAATTTTTTTTTTTCCAATTACTTATTGTAAAGAAAACGTAATAACTTTTAAACTAAGCGGTATATCCTGATAAAATAAAAACGGTAATAATGCTAAATAACAGGCAATACTAAAAAAATTCATAAAATACACAAAAAATGCCAACAAATAATAAAAAACGATACTTTTTGAAAAAAATCTGCTTTTAAATTCGTGTTTTTTTGGTTATTTGATAAATTTCTCCAAAAAATGCCCCTATAACAGGTAGTTTTTATTACTTTGTATTATTCTCCATCGTATTATCTTTGTAAAACCAAAAATAGCATGTCTCTATCCCTATCACAACATTTGCTATGAGCGTTTGAACAAAGGCCTGCCACAACATTATTCTCTGCCTGCAGGTAGAGAAAATTTTAATTTTAACTAAAATGCTTATTTTACTTCGAAATCTTTTGTTTTTATTTAAATTTAACTTGTCTTTATCTAAATTAGAAATCTAGAGCCATTTTCAGTTTCGTTGTTAACGAAGCGTTGAATAGCGAGCCCGGAGAGGCTTAGTTCAAACGATCATTGCAAATGTTGTGATAGGGATAGAGACATGCGATTTTTGGTTTTACGAAGGTAATACGATAGAGAATAATACAAAGTAGTAAAAACCACCGGTTATAGGGGCATTTTTTGGAGAAATTTATCAAATAACCAAAAAAACACGAATTTAAACGCAGATTTTTTCCAAAAATTATTATTTTTTATTATTTGTTGGCCTTTTTTGTGTATTTAATGTATTTTTTTAGTATCGCCTGTTATTTAGCATTATTACTGTTTTTATTTTATCAGGATATACCGCTTAGTTTAAAAGTTATTACGTTTTCTTTACAATAAGTAATTGGAAGAAAAAAAATTCTATAAAAAATTTAAAAACAATCTCAAAAATTTTTTGACCTCTTTTTTGTCGATAAAAATAGGTCTAGTTTCATCTATTTTCATATGTACACTTTAACGTGACTCACACTGTATAATAGACATACACATAGATACATAAAAATAATATTATTATTATGCCAAATTATATTAATATATGATATCAAAACGTTCAAAATGTGTGGCTGTACGCCGGCGCTGTACACGAGCCAGTGTTCTCTTTTATGATATTTGTTAGTATTAAGGTTTCATTATTAAATAATCACTGATAAATGTAATTCATTTATTACTTTTACCTCAACTGTCGGTAATTATTTATAATAACCGGCGATTATTCATAATTTTCAATTGATCACATTAACCGTAACATATACACAAGAGTCGGGGCGTGACCTGGTGTTGCAGCCCTCGCCGGCGCAGCCGCTGAGGATGAGGTCGCACAGCAGCGCGGCCGCGTTGGCCGACGCCACGCCCGCCAGCCGCGCCGCGCGCGCCTCCGTCGCCGACTCCCCGTCCGCGGCCTCCGCGCCGTCCGCGCCCTTGCCCTCCGCTTCCGACACGTTGTTCTCCACTTTATCTGTGTCTGGGTTGCACATGTAAACATTATGAAAAATAAATGCATAACCTGCTTTTAAAAAATATTCATTAGGGCATTGTAACTAGGGAGGCGCAGTATGAGGTTATCACTCTGTCTTACCGTTGCCCTATCGTTAGAGCCTTGCCACACTGGCGGATTACAAGCGGCTTTTGCAAGCATTTGTCGACCGCGACGTGCCCGCTCCGCTTGCAATCCGCTAGTGTGGCAAGGCCCTAACAAATACCATCAACTTCTATAAAAAATAGTAAATAATTCATGTCCGCGACGCGTAGCTTCCTCGTTCGTTTCAGCCAGATTGACATCAACTGCTGGATAAAGGCCTTCCCCCGAAGAATCCCACAATACACCAGGCACCACTTAATTTAACACTAATCATAACATGTTGTCCTGATATCAGTGTTCTCGTTTATACGTTTAGGGCCAAAGCAAATCCTGCTAGCCAAGATCTACATCTAGACTGTCTACCCACCCGCCTACAGCTAATGGGCCAGCAGCTAAACTGAAGATGGAAGTAGTGGAGCGGTACCTTGGTCGGGTGAGGGCGGCGCGTCGGGCTCGCGCGCGGGCTTCTCGCTGGGCTCCCGCTGGCCCTTCTCCAGCTCGGGCGCGCGCGCCTCGTACGTGCCGCACACGATCTGGATCAGGCACTCCAAGAACTGGTGCTCCTCGAACCACTGCCGGGTTGAAAACACGCTAGTTACACTGCTTCTTTACTTCTCGACAATGTTTGGCACAAAATTGTCAGCTTGGCTTGGCTAGCAAAATACTGATTCGGTTTTCATACGATACGATCCATTCACACATTACATACGTCACGTTTAAAATAATATAATTGTTTCTAGGCATTTAAAAATACTCAATACTCAATAATTTATTGCTTCCATAATGTTTACAAAAGGTGATATTGGTAAGGTAAGATTCAATTATGGACCCTGTCGGGCACTGCATTTTAGGAGAGAGGATAAAATGTGTACCTATTGGCTTATTTGACATTTATTTATTATTTCGTAATAAAGAGTCGCATTCCAAAGTATGCACTGGAGACGTCAGAGCCCTGACGTGATCCACGCACAAGGTGATGGCTATATTTATTCGATCGGATAGTGTGTTGCTGGCTTAGACGCAGGATATTAACGCCCAATTCCCGCGACAATCAGGATGCGCTCGGAATACACGCTCGGAGCTGAAAGCTAGCGCTTATAGATACCGAACATTCTGCGGCCCGCAACAAAACGAGATCAGCGAATTAGGAATCATTATAGAGCTAGCTAGAATAGAAAGTTCGGTTCAGACACGAAATTTTGAAAGAAAGAAACAAATGTATAGGAAAAATATTGTTTCACATAGCTGCAACTAACTCGCGATAGCTGTTGCGTTGCGTCATTTAGATTCTAGATTAGTAACCACTCAGCAAATAAACCTAGTTTTCATTTCACCTCCTTTATAGTGATTCACAATCACATGTGCTTAACAATTTTAAAATAAAATCAGGTTGATGAGTAATTTTATTCATGAAATAACTTACCTACATTGTTAACAATGTACACATGTGCACACATGAAACTAATACCTTTCGGATTACTCAGTCTATAATTATTCATGTTGGCTAAATATTAACACAGTATAATTTGTTGGGTTATTTATACCTGTGGATGTTATTAACCTATTATGTTCCAGAAACACGAGATACAATAGGCAACAACTGTTTGATGGCTCAATGATTGAAATTATAAGCTTGAAATAAATGTATGTGCACAATATTTTTATGCAATTTCTATAAATTATAAGTTTCATAATTTATTTATTTATTTATTTCCACACACATTATTAATCTCACTAAAAACATTATGGTATTAAGCTTCTGCTTAAAGTATAAACTATGTATTTATTTATATCAACGAAATTGAAGAAACTCACCTCCATGATTATTTTGTTGAAAAGATCATCGAGCCTAATAAAATACTTGAAGGTATCGGCTATGGCCGACGTGGATATGTGGCGCAGCAGGTTGGGCAGGAAGTCCCGCCGGGACTTGAAGAAGTCCAGCACCCGCAGGCACACTATGTGGTAAAGGTACCAGTCCTGGGCAAAACAGAGGTTCCTTAGTACTTTAGGGAGCATCAAGACTGGCAGTTTATTTAGGTCGGAGGCCTTCCGGGGTCCGGGGCTCGCCTGCGGTAAAAGAGGCATCATGACAGTACCGGACTTGTACGACTGCATCGATCAAGCTGACAGCAAGCAACACGTTAACACAACATGAAGCAAGATGGACTTTATTATTATGCAAAATATGTTTTGTCAGAATGAAATTGAACAAATTATCTGTTGAAATTGATGAGGCAAATGCATATCTCACAGGCCATGCGTTGTTACAATTTATTACAAGCATAATTTGCCTCTTTCTTTCATCTTTGTGAGATAGGATTAAGACATATCACAATATTGAGATGTTTAAAAAGCATTTCACAAAAGCATTAAAACATGTATATTACAAAACATCAAGTATGTATGTAGGTATAAGTAATAAAACTGTTATCACATCACAGTAAACAATGAAAACAATTAATTTCGAATTTGGAAGCCCCCACCTTGAAACCTCAGATTAAATCTTAAAGAAAGAAAATTGAGTAAGAATTATTATCATAAGGGGCTAAATGGCAAAAGATATTCACCTGTTTTGGACTCCTCTCAAGTAGCATTTCCACAGTTTTACTAAAGTAGGAAGCCAACAGTGGATTCAACGGAGGGTCTTTATTGATGAAGTCACAGAGCCTGTTCATCTGCACCACATCCATGGACAGGCGGTCGCTGAGCGACGACAGGTGGCTGGTCAGCACCTCGCAGGCGATGCTCGCGTGCCGGTACTGAGACCCCAGCTCAACATTTTTGGGAGGCTCCTCAGTTATTAGTGTTATTAACTCTGCCAGTATCTTTGGCTTTGTGAGACTGAAAAAGAATAGGAATGCATGAGAAATGTTCATTTATTGATATATTTATTTGGCACCCACACATGATCAATCATTCGAACAATATCTTTCAGTTAAACTAAACACATCCAGAGTAATTTTAGATAAGGTTTTGAGGGCTTATTTCAATGATGAACACAAAATCATCTACTTTTAGGTTTGACTTATTTAAATTTAAATTAATAGATGTGAATAATGAGACAAAAACTAGTATTAGTCCTTTGTTGTTTATCTTCAGGTTCCAATTGGAACATGTTGAAGTGTGTGGTGCCTCAAGGCGGCGTGGAGCGCGCCGAGGGCGAGGGCTTACAATTGCATTAAGGCTTTGTTGTCCGCTTTGCATTCCTGCAGGATATCGTCTGCCTCCAACACCTGAGTCAGAGTTACATTCTGAAACAAAAAAAACAATCTTGAATAGTCAACACTAGCCAATAACAACTAAGGGGTAGTCTTGATAAATGATTTGATGATTTTTTCCACGTAAATAAATTATGAATTACTACATGATATGAGCAAATTTGTCCAACAACCACTTCTAACCATCAAATTTTTAACAAAATACGTACCTCTTCTTTCAGTAGGAAATTTAACTCCCTAACTGCGATATAATTTCCACTCCAAAACATAATTAAAATTAATAAGTACAAATGGTTTATTTACTCTAAATCCATAGAAAAACGTATTATTTTTACAATTTTTAGCGTTTCTCCGATAAAAAGTGCAACGATCCGTTTTCTTTTTTGACAGTAAAACACGATGTTGCCATAAAAATAAAATAGACTGAAAATTATTCTCCTATTTCTAAAATAATCTACCATTGGGGTCCACCAAATATTTTTGATGAGCTATGAATGAGCTAACGACATGTTTAGAACAATAAATTGTTGGGAATTGGGATGAAAATGAATGAATTTCATCCCCATTCCACTGTTTTTTTTTTTACTTGACTTGTCTAATTTCCGTTCCGCGCAGTGTAAAAGCGCCTTTAAAATAATGTCCCAGTCTCTCCCACATGAAAAACTAGTTGGCTTTGATCGCGATACTCATAAATTAATGAACTTGATGAAATGATTATACGGTTTTCATAATTAGTTCATTTATTTGGTGAAACTTGGGGAGAACTTGTACATTTAAGTTAAATTCCCAGTTGCCCCCAGTGGGGCGACTTTGGTGGGGGCAACTGAGAATAACGGATGTTTAAATGAGTTGTTACAAGAGAAGGTCTGAGTGAGGCAAAAATAAATTTCGAAACCTATAAATAATAAACAATTTTTTTATTGATGTTCATTTTCCTTTGTTCAACAATCTCATCGCCAGGGCTTCGGCTTCTTGTACAGATAGAGATGACGATATATCTTGTATTTTCTTAACTTTTCGGGGCATTACACTTTCTTGAGGTATCCCTTTGCTCTCAACCAACTTCCTTTTTGCAGGCCTGCAATGAGAAAGACAAAAAATTACTTAAACATAAATAATCATAATATGAATTTAAATAATGGAACAATATTACAAAGTATTAGACATACCTGTGGAACATTTGTTCATCTGCTGAGTCATCTGGACTAACTTCTTCTTTGTCTGTCTGAACAGAGTCTCTGCCATCTTCCGAATCAGAAGCACCATTCTTCTTCCCATAAACTTTGTCGGGATCAGGCAGCCAAGACAAATCTGGCCCATCTGATTCTGATTGTGATCCAAAGTCATCCTTTTCTCCTTCTTCGTCTTTCTTTTTATTTTTGAGTTTACGTTTTTGTTCTTTGTGTTTTGCTTTAACTTTTTCTCTGAAACGAATTTTATCAAACTTGTCTTCCTCTTGTAAAATTTCTTTCGCTTTTTCGATGTCAATGCCACCAATGTTTTCTTCATTAAGTTTTTTAGCTAAGTCTGATTTAAGTTCTCTCTTTTCGTCTTGTATTGCTTCGCCATCTTCAGTGAATTTTACAGTTGTGTTAACTTTAATTTTTTTCTTAAGTATTTTTTTAGCCACTGCTGCTTTTGTTAGAGGTTTAGCCTTTTTCTTTGATTTAATAGGTTCTTCTGCTATTGTTGGAGTCTCTACTTCAACATTTTTCTTTTTAACTTGGAGGAAGTCATCTTCATCACTATCATCATTACCATGGAAATCAAATTTAGGTATTTCTGCTTTCTTTTTTTGAGGTTTTTTCTTAATTTCTGGTATTATGTTGTCATCTGATTCGACTCCACTCTGATCTGATCCTTCATCATCATCGGCCTTAGCCCTTAGTTTATCTACGACTTTGTCGCCCTCATCATCTGGTTGTTTATTTCCAATATTATTTTTTTGATATTTGTGCATAAATCTTACTCTCGGTGGAACAATCAAACCCAAAGATCTGGCATATGCATCTGTGTCCAAGAGTTGTACATTAAATATATCCTTATTTTTCATCAAAAAAACTGACTTCAAATAATTAACAAATGCTCTCTGAGCAGTTTGTTTAAGGTCAGTGTTATCAGACAGTAAAGCTTCAATTTTTCTTTGTGGAGCCACTACTTTTGAAGGGTCCACGGATATTTTGTTTATGGGTATTTTCCTATTTCTCAAATCTTCTACAATTTTTTCTTCACTGGGTAATAACATCAACAGACCCTCTCCTTTTCCAAGCACACCCCTGGCAGTGCGACCAGCCCGGTGAATGTATGTGTCTACATCTTCTGGACAATCCATCTGTATCACCCAATTGACTCTAGGAAAATCTAATCCTCTGGATGCTAGATCTGTAGCAAATAGCACGACATTTGATTTTCTGCAAAATTCGTTGTAGATTTTCTCTCTTTTTTCTTGATGTAATGTTCCATACAGAGCCAACAAACTAACACCGGGCCTCAATTTACAAAATAAGTCATATGTGTATTTAACTTGTTTACAAGTAGCCATGAATACTAAAACTTTTTGTTTCAAATGGTTTCTGATAAAAGACCATAGAATGCCAATTTTTTCATCTATTTCACACACAATGTAACTCTGCTGCAAGGCCTCAGGAGTCACAGTCTCGGCTTGCTCGTGCGGAGCCACGTAGGTTGGAAAGGACAAACTGAGACGAGCTAAGTCTTTCACTGACTTTGTTTGTGTCGCAGAAAAAAGTAAGGTTTGTCTCTCTGGTGGTAAATTTTCAATAATAGCATTCATGGTGGCCTCAAAGCCCATATCCAAGCAGCGGTCGGCCTCGTCCAGCACCAGCAGCTGCAGCTGGCTGCAGTGGAACAGCGGGTTCTCGTCCATGTGCTGCAGCAGGCGGCCGGGGGTGCATATGAGTATATTCATTTGGTCCATTCTTTTTCTTTCAAACTTTAAATTTTGTCCACCTATGATTAATCCCACAGAAAAATCATGAAGGTAGCCCACTTTCCTGAGAGTTTCATATATCTGGTAGGCCAGCTCTCTCGTTGGCGATATGACTAATGCACCCACACCGTCGAGGCGAGTCCATTTTTTACAAAATAAATTTTCAAGTATGGGTATGAGAAAGGCTAAGGTTTTGCCCGAGCCGGTCTTTGCTGCTCCCAGGATATCTTTGCCCTGTAATGCATAGCCTATAGCCTGTTTTTGTATTTCTGTTGGTGTAATGTAGTTATTTTCTTTTAATCCTTTCAACGTTTTTTGGGAGAGAGGTAAATCCTTAAAAGTTTTGATTTCATCTGGTACAATCTGAGAAAAAAATTTAAAATATGTTAGGTATAATTTGTTATTATCCTACTAATATTATAAATGCGAAAGTTTGTGTGGATGTTTGTTACTCTTTCACACAAAAACTACTGAACGGATTTTGATGAAACTTTACAGTATAATTATTTATAACTCAAAATAACATAGGCTATAATTTATGACGATATGTATTTCACGCGGGTGAAGCCGCGGGCAATTTTATATCATTTTAATGAGACGGCGAAGTGGTATTTTAAAGAATTCCAGGGGAATCAGGTATTTTATTTGCAATATCTGAATAACTTTTAGTGTCGATTTCAGGGTTTCTTCTGTGAATGATTAATCCACAACTCTTAAAACACGTTATTAATAAAAACCATTACAAACCTTGTCGTATTGGCCCTGTAAGTATTGAATTGCAGCATCTTCCTCTACACTTTTCTTTTTACGTGGTTTATAAAGTTTTAACTTCTTTTGATTATTTCCTTTCTTAATATTTTTTCTTTCCTCTTGCTTCATATTATTGGAAAAATCCAAAAATCGAAATAATAAACATAACCTACAAACACCATGCACTCGCAAACCTCACAAAAATTAAACTGTCACACTGACGTTTTTTTTTTTTTGGAGTTATAAAAGGACCACCTAGAGAAGCCCAATTATTTATCCATTCACCCTCCCCAATTGGTCGATATCACTAAGAGAATCAACATTGTATCGATTATAATAAATTGAATAATCGATAACTCCGTAATGTTTACCTACATTAAGCACAACAGGGATATATCCACATCCGCTTTGAAAAAAAAGGCGCATAAACAATCGACTCGCTGCCACGGATAGGCGTTTCTCTTGGTTTCCTTTCTCGTACCGAATTAAACGCGATTCCAAGAATATTTTAGCATTTCCTTGTTATTAATTTGGTGAAAGGCATTTTCGCTGAAGAGGTATGTACCAAAATAAATATATTATGCTTAATACTATCATTATTCTATCAAGTTTTTAGACAAGGATCTAAAATCACCACTCATCTTTTGTGTCGATTCATTCTGCGTACTTGCCTGAAATGCCTACTACCTAGTTGATTGATACTTTTTGTGCTTTGTTCCTAACGTAAATACAATCAACAATATTTAGCATTTTATTGTGCTGCTAGCAAATAATTTTCTTTGGTTTGATTTGAAATAAATTAGCTTCTACCTACTTAATTTATTGGTTAATTTAATTAGGTAAGTAGGCTAACTACTTATAATTTTGTTTTTGCTTAGTAATTTTATTCACTTCTTTCAAGTTTCAAAGATAAAATCATTGAGTTAACAATATTAATTGGTTACTTCCTTTGTTTATTTTTATCTTGTGTTTAGTTGTTGTTTATCCAACTTATTCAAGTACCACAACTTGTACCTGACGAATTTGGTCAGAAAATCTCGTTTGTCTAGCTTTCTTTGCCTGTGTTAGTGATTTAGAATTTTAGATCAATTTCATATTTAGGTTTACAGACTTGCCTTCACCGCTAAGCGGGCGCAACGGCACTTCTGATCAGCGCGATGACGCAATGTAATCACGCTATACTTATTGTACTTACTTTTAAAAAATAACAACACGTGTACGATGAACCTTTCGTGATCTTTTCTTACTAGAGCATTGGCGTTTCATGTAGCCTTGTCATCTACCTATCTATCTACCTCCCACCTACATAAAATGCCTTTGTCTTTTAAAGTGAAACACTTTGATGTTTGCTAATACCTATTAATTACCTATCCTTCGTAACAAATAGTTACTTACATACTTCAACCTTGTTTATTGCAAAAAAATAGGTTTTCATTAACGAGTTACAGAATAGGTAAGGTAGTATTATGTTTCCATGCCTACAATAAAAAATATTTTAGTTAGGTAGATATAATTTGGTGACATTATTCAAATATCAATTTTCCGCCGCGTTTACGAGAGCACGTATCGCCATGATTTTCCTCTTATTATAAAAATACACACATAGTACCTACCAACTTATAATAAAATATAATGTTGTACGTCAAATTAGATAGATACCTACTGCTGCGCATCTATATTTTTAACAAAAAGCTTGATTATATAAACTATTCATAATACATGCAGGTTTTTATTTCCACCCAGGTACATCTACAACAATGAAGTACGCAGTGGCAGCCCTGAGTCTGCTGGCGGCAGTCAGCGCCGTCTCCTTCTTCGACCTCGTGAAGGAAGAATGGAACGCCTTTAAGGTAAAACAGATCTACCTATTCAGTTAAATATCAATTCATCGAATTATTCTCCAAGGCACGTAGTCACGTACCTAACTTTGCCCCAACGGAAAATGGCGTCTTAAGATGCTTGTACTTCCGATTCCGCAAATGGTCCTTGCGTTGAAACTAAGTACACTGAGGGAGGAGTGTTACCCTTTTTAATAATGTAGAATAAACTTGAGAGACAACATTAGAAATAATAATACGATATCAGAGAAACGTCTGTAAAGCAAGTCAATAAAGCAGTAAAATTGTTATTGCATATCCGTTAAAATTCATCAACGCAAGCACTGTATTTTTCAATAATATTTGTTAATGATAACAAACATATTGGCGTGTGATTGCCGTTATCTGTGTTATTGTTTACATCTGATACCGATCGCGCCACGCTACACGCGAAGGTTAACATGTTTCTGATTTGTTCCCACGAGATTTTAGCTATTAATTTAGCTATCGATTCATCTAACATGTATCACTGTAGATGGAGCACAGTAAGAAGTACGACAGCGAGATCGAGGACAAGTTCCGCATGAAGATCTACGCGGAGAACAAGCACAAGATCGCGCGCCACAACCAGCGCTTCGAGCAGGGCCTGGTGTCCTTCAGGCTGCAGCAGAACAAGTACGGCGACATGCTGCACCACGAGTTCGTGCACGTCATGAACGGCTTCAACAAGACCGCCAAGTGAGTGCGCCCATTCTTTTGATGTTCCTTTAGCTACTTAGTCCAGCAGCCTTCAAAGGTAAAAGTACGAACTCAATACTTGTAGGTACATAATTGTTATAATAGTTCAATTAGTTTACTGTAATTTACTGTAAATTTTACAACATACCTAAGTAATAATATGAATACAAAATTGCATTTTAAATTCAGCATGACAACAGACGTCGGAACTGATTAAAAAAAGCAAAAACAAAATTTAACACGGGATACGAGATGTAATCATTCAATTCACGGATCTGAGCGAGACTGATCAATCTTGCAGACTTTGCCGCTAAAGAGTAAATCAAATAAACATTAAAAACAATAAAATGTGCTGGGTCCAATGAAGCGAAACGACAGCGAGTGATCATTGTTGTTGATAAGGGTGCAATCACCACTATCCGTCGGTTCCGCCCATTTCAGCACCGATAATGGTGTCACTCGTACGCCCATTGTTCACGACCATCTGTGCAGATGTGGCCTTATGACTGACGTTATGTATTTATTAGGAGATCGCTTTACTGCGAGTAAACCGATCCGCAATTTACAAAGGTAGGTATAATAAATGGTCACTGAGTGGCATCATAACATGACCAAAACAACAAAACTCTGCTCACAGGTGCTTAGAAAGATACATACCTAATCTAACTTTAGAAACGAAGGGAGATCGTGTGAAGTTTTTTTAACAAAGCGCAGGTATGGGGTTCACGGAGTATTGTCAATATGCTCGGATCCTTTGTTTGTTGTTGTGACTACAGCCATATGACCGTCAAAATATGGGCGAACCGGTTCTATTCAACGCCGCGCCGTGACGAAACCAGCTGGCACAGAACATGTTTTGACTATGAATGATACTAAATTAGTAAGTTTTAAGTGGGAGAAAAGTTTTAATACCTATATCATTATTTACATAGCAGTTCTGTGTCGAACATGATGATGAATCATCAAGTTGGTCGCTGAAATTCAAGCAAAACAATTCGATAAAGCAAAAATATTTTCCAGTTTACGTACGTATTGTGGTGTGGTGGTGAATCACGGTGTGATTATTGTTAGGTGTTGTGTTGCCCAGTGCGACCTCTAATCGTTTTGTCGATTCTCATTGCGATGACGGCAAATAATATATGTTAGTGCCTACATAATTTATTCAATTTCCTGTTTGTTTCCCTTAGTAGGCTACTAGGGCAATCTAGCTAAGGAAAGTATGTATGTGAGTGAGGAACCTACCCAGTTTTACTGGACTCCCGCGCAACAACTCAAATGTTTACCTACTTTATGATAGGACTGACTGTTCCAGCAAGGGTTAGGATAAGCTTATCATCAAGCCGCTGCTTCTTCAAACACCCTTAACGTGGATTCCTTTGTCGTAGACACAACAAGAACCTGTACTCCAAGGGGCAGGACATCAAGGGCGCCACGTTCATCGCGCCCGCGCACGTGACCGTGCCCGAGTACGTGGACTGGCGCAAGCACGGCGCCGTCACCGAGATCAAGGACCAGGGCAAGTGCGGCTCCTGCTGGTCCTTCAGTACGGTGAGTGCAGGCGCCTTCATGTTTAACTGCCAAGGTTCCCCAAGAAAATAACACTCGTCCTTTATTGCTACAGCACAGTTTGAAATATCACACGTTCCTTAAAAGTCCTAGGTCATTTTTTCAAATTATCGAACCCGATAAGAATAGATGTAGGAAACTCGGAACAAATCACGTAGCGAACATAAGTCCGTTGTCATGTGCTCCTGAACAATGGGTCCTTTCACAGATAGTTAAAGCCATGTTGAATGGAGAGCTCTAGATATTACCAAGAAACTACCTGCCGTAGCAAAAACCAAATATACCATTACCAAAGAGCGGTCGCGATACAAAAAACCAAAGCGGTTATAAGTTGAAGAGGCATGTGGCCTTGACTTGTACTTTTTTGTGCGAACATTGCTTCTTTCCCCAACTTTTTTCACCAGCATCTGTATTTCTGAAGATTTCCACTTAAAACTTTTTGCTCAAGGAATAAAACCAATAATAAGTACCTAGTCACAGCACCCAGATGCAGAGCGTTTGTTGACTTAATACTCAAAACAACCACAACTGTTTTTGTGTGCGTATTAACTGACGCAACAAACCGGTCCTTGTGTAACATGCAGTGCTACGCGAGCTGCATTCGAAGTTCAAAATATGCGCCGGAGTGCATCATGCGATAACTGCGATAGTTAATATGAACATTTTTGGCCGTTACTTAGAAAGTAAACGACAACGAACTTGCGGCAATTTGAAATGAATCATTCATTGTACTATCCGTGTTAACAATATGCCAGATCGCGAGTAACCCGATTAAAATAATTATCAAACGATTCAAACCTATCGGTGTCACCGGCGCGCGCAGAACAATGCCATAATCAGCCGTGCACAAACAATAATTACTCAGTAATAATGACTGATCCCAACCATGACTAATAATATTGAATTTAACGCTACATTACGATATTTATGTTAAATATTAGTAAGCAGGTAAATAAATACTTTCAACACAATTGGTTTAAACAATATCCTTAGCAATTGGCAGTCATTATTAGTTATAAATAAAATAATACAATGCGCATGCGGTCTGCCCACATCATGGCCACCCGACGCATGCGTGTTAAGCCAATGCATCTGTGCGGAGGTATCAAATGACCCGACTAAACAAACAAAGGCTTTATCAATAACTAATTCATAACCGGCGATTCACTGATGAAAAAATAACAAGACATTGCGCCATATTCTTACATTTATCAGTTAAATAAGAGTGCGTAGTTCATAATAAATAGTCGGTTGTACCAACTTGCCACTAATTATTTCCTTAAATAACATTGTTATCTCAAGTCTCAACATTATTATTATAAAAGACACTTTCATTAAGGTTAAGAAACTAATCAAACACAATTAGATTATGACTTGTGTACAGAATAAATAATAAATTTAACGATTAAGTAATAAATATGCATTATAATGACATCAACTTGGTATCATGAAGAAAAGTTGAAAACAATAAAATAAATAAGTAGGGTAGCCCGCTAAGTAGGGTAGGTACATAAATTCTAGCTATAACTAATTATTTAAATGTCGAGTCCTATTGGATTTCAATTTGTATCTTTTGAAACAGGATAAATATTATAGTACTTACATAGGTAAGTGTTATAACATTACTAAACTAAACACTAAACCCTGTTAGGGATGGCCCTAACAGGGTTTAGTTCAGGCGATCAGTTTCAATGATATTTGACAACAGTCTAGGGCCTAGGTAATGTCATCTATTGATGACCTAGCTAGGGAACTCTTTCAATACCTTGAAACTTGTCGTCCGCAGACCGGCGCTCTGGAAGGGCAGCACTACCGCAAGAGCGGCGTGCTGGTGTCGCTGTCGGAGCAGAACCTGGTGGACTGCTCGCAGTCGTACGGCAACAACGGCTGCAACGGCGGCCTCATGGACAACGCCTTCAAGTACATCCGCGACAACCACGGCATCGACACCGAGAAGAGCTACCCCTACGAGGCCATCGATGACCAGTGCCGGTGAGACACCACACCATCACCACACTAAAACTCTACTCTGCTATACTACGAACCGAGCCCTTAGTTGAACCTTACCTTCGAACTCCTATGTTCTTCTGAATTTCATTGTGAGTCCACTAACAGTTTAACTTTCCCCCGGGACAAACTTGACCTTCACTGGTTGGGTTTATATTGGCGGTCAAGCTGTAGATCCTGGTTACACAGGAGTTGCAGCGGTGGGAACTAGAGGTGGGAATAGTCCCGTTACTGCTATCGTCATTTATAGAAACCACTACACTGAGATTTAATTCCTCGAGAATTAAGAAGTGATGTCGTTAAATTAACACAATTCAAATCATGTTATTAGTAACGAATGGCTTCACTAAAAATACTTCTTGCTAATCTGGGGGCACGGCAGTGCCCCCGCCAAGTCGAGCGCGAAGCAAACACTGCCGTACCATCCTTTACTGGAACCATTTCGCCGCATTTTCAGGCCCCTATTTGAGACACTCTGGATAAGACCAGAACGCAGAAATTTTCGTCATCTAGTAAGCTATAATCACATAGTTAAAATCCAAAATTTCAAGTCTGTAGGTCATTTAGTTCCGAAGTTAAGTGAAAGCAAAGTTTCGCATTTATGACACTCACTCACTCACTGATGATCATCAAAATAGAACTAGTACTTCCCATAAACTCAGAGAGCTGAAATTTGGTACAGAGTTAGGGTTTAATGGCCACTTAAAGGGAAAACTATAAAAACTAGGAAAATCGAAGGTCAGGAGTAACACCACATTCATAATCAATGTTACTAGCGACACACCGGCACCGTGGTGTTCGCCTGTACCGCTCACCGCTAGATGGCGCCAGCACTTTGAGCGTCGATTTTCTGCAACGCGGTGTCCAGTTTTTTTTTCCTTTCTAGACGCCCCCGTCGATTAAGTTGAATGTTATGTTGTGTAGTTTTAATTTCGTTGAATTCGTTTATTATACGTGAGGTTCGCTAGGGTTAAGTTATTAAACCAATCATTCTGATTTTGTCCATTATAAAGGTCGTTGAGTTAATTTATGTTTAATATCGTAAAAAAAATGTCGATAATATTAAAAGACGACGACGTNATCCCACCAAAAACATTCTGTAAAAAACTAGCCAAGTCTCGTTAGAGCTGCTTGTTTATCTCTAAAAAGTAATGAAATCTAGACAAAGTCGTGCCAAGTCTATGATGGTTCCTTACTGCGATTTTTTTATTATTATAGTTTTAATGTTGTGTGACTTGGCCGTTGAACAATCTTTATTATGATAATCATACATAAGTATTATTGAAATACGCAGCTTTATTAAGCCTACAATTGACTGGTTATTGAAGCAACGTTTTTCAAGTGGCAATTTTCCATCGTCAATGGGTAGCGACAGATTGGTGCAATGATGTCATGGAGCACCTGATTTTGTACCCTTCAACGGCCAAGTCACACAACATTAAAACTATAATAATAAAAAAATCGCAGTAAGGAACCATCATAGACTTGGCACGACTTTGTCTAGATTTCATTACTTTTTAGAGATAAACAAGCAGCTCTAACGAGACTTGGCTAGTTTTTTACAGAATGTTTTTGGTGGGATAATAATGACTTGATAATATTGGTTAGTTTGACCTTCATACATTTCTTGATCGAATTTTCCTGATCCGCAGTATCAGGGTCAACCCAATAGTGGCGATAGATCAATCATGACACTACTTTTAATTACGCTTTTTAAGATCACATTGCAAGTTAGCACAGATAGTTTGAATTTTCAAGTTTGTCTCAAAGAGAAATAGGATCCTTCCAAATACTAATAAGACTGTTCTTTTTTGATGTTGATTTTTTCAATTTACTTCTGCTTTGCATTTCAAAACAAAGTCGAATATGTCCTTTAAATTTTAACCAACTGAATAAAATTCTTCAAAAGTGGCCTTCATTCGTGAGGTTACGCAGTCCGTAGTCAGTTGTTGGTCACGGAGAATATGCATTATTCCCCAAAAACCCTCGCGCCCTTCCAAAACGTTGTTCAAGTGTCTCGGCCGCAGGTACAACCCCAAGAACTCGGGCGCGGACGACGTGGGCTTCGTGGACATCCCTTCGGGCGACGAGCAGAAGCTGATGCAGGCCGTGGCCACCGTGGGGCCCGTGTCGGTGGCCATCGACGCGTCGCAGGAGTCCTTCCAGTTCTACAGCAAGGGCGTCTACTACGACGAGAACTGCTCGCCCAGCAACCTCGACCACGGGGTGAGTGCGCCCAAACTTCTTCCTAGTCTTTTGCTCGACGATCATTGGTTTTTTCATGGTGCTGTTCTGTTCGATTGATTCGCTTCAAATATTTTCTGAGATTATCAAATGAAGTGCATTCTCAGCGATGCAATTTAGAGTCCACTTTAGTTCAGTTCGATACCTGTTTCAAGGCCAGCTAGTTATTTACAAACTAGAAACTCGTATTCGTAGTTAAATAATTTGGGTCAAATTCAGGTTATTTCAGTTCACGTCATGTTTTTGTTTAATATTGTAGTTTATCAGAGACGTGACCGAGCTCATGCCGAAACTGAGTTACGTTATTTTTAACTTTATCTGTTGACCATAACAATATTTATGTTACAGTCTTCAACCATAATAATATTAATATTAGTTGTTTGTTATTACGGTACCTATTTGTATGTAGGTACTGATGATTTTTCCTTGTTCGAATTTCCTTCCACTTTTACCCTACCTTTTTCTTTATAATAAGGAAAAGTAATTCAATCTTCTACAATTTTAATATGTAAGTTTTCTGTGCTTATCATTGTCCGTTGTAATACTGATTGTAATTGCATAGTCCCTTAATTTTTCTTCAAGTGACAGTCGAGTGTTTCTGCTGCGTTTCATTTTCAAGCGCCAGGACAATATTTTCTGCATTTAAAGTGGACTCTTTTCAAATACCCACTCCACACAGACTAGGCAGTTGTCGAGCGTTCGTTTCTCTCCTCTTTTGCGATAAGAAGGTGGAATCCTCCCCGGTGTCGAAGTAACGGTCCCTGTGCGCAGGTGCTGGTGGTGGGCTACGGGTCGGACGAGCAGGCGGGCGACTACTGGATCGTGAAGAACTCGTGGGGCCGCTCGTGGGGCGAGCTGGGCTACATCCGCATGGCGCGCAACCGCGACAATCACTGCGGCATCGCCACCGCCGCCTCCTACCCGCTCGTGTGAGACGCCTTCGGAGCCCTCGAGTCCCTTCACACCGGCAACGGTCATCCGCTATTTAAAAACCTAGCGGTGATTTAACTTTTTTCAACTCAAAATTTTAACCTGAAAGTCGTACTGATTTTTCCGGGCGACTTGTTTATGATCGACGTTTCCGAACGATCGCACCTTTGTCGCACGAAACGTTCCTTTCGCCGTGTTCTATGAATGCGCAGACTGAACTGACATCTTAGATAGCGACGCGAACGGTTTATGCAATCAACCGAAGACTAATAAGTTGCGATTATACTGTATGTTTCAAAGGTGCGACGTGTAGCGGAAACCGTTTGATGTAGTGATTGTAGTCTCGCAATGTTTTGGAACTGAAAGCTTTAAATCCAACGTTTATTATTATCGATGTACTGAGTAAGCTACTTGATATTGTCGTTCATTAATCGTTGAATTGTAGTAAATTTGTGTTCTGTCCACATTCCGTCACTATATCAAACTCATGCTATGAAAGACTTATGATTTATTAATGTATTTTACACCGAAAGTCGTGTGATAGTAGCATAAACAATATTATAAGTGTAATTTTAAGATAAGTACCTAAATGAAATAAAGAAATAATTTTATACAACACAGCTTTCTTATTGAACCCCAGTAGAAATGGTTTATTCCAGTTATCCCCACTATACTCTGATTTTTAATTCGACGGAATTTTGACATTTCAGAAGTGTTGCCAACATTGAAACATTCCCAGTAAGAATGAAGAGCATTTTCACAAATTAAAAAATAATCCTTTTTTGAATTTAATGTTTCAGTTGAAAAACTAAGGTTTAAAAATGTACTGATCATTTCAAAATGGTTATTTGAATTTTTATTATCATATTTTTGAAGTTACAAAAAGAAATGGGAAATTATTTATTTTTTTCTATTACTGGACTCCCTGGCCAATAATCCATGGGTTACAAACCTTTTTTATGAAAATCATTTTGTTAATAAAATCTTAGCTTCATAAAATAATCAATTTAACAAGATGCCAATTTTATAATCCAAGTTCATTATGATGACGATAATGATGATTGATGATCAATACATATTTTCGTTTATGTTATTATGTTGTTTTACTGTGTTAAAAACACGTTTTTTTCTATTTAAGCTCTAAAATGTACATAATAATGTGTGTACATAATAAATGTACATAATAAAGGTCGCGGGAAGAGCCTGGATGCGGGCAGCGCAGGACCGTTCATTGTGGAAAACCTTGGGGGAGGCCTTTGTCCAGCAGTGGACGTCATTTGGCTGAAAGGAACGAACGAACGAATGTGTGTACATTGAATTCACAAAACAAACAATAGTTCATTCTTGTAAGTTGTACTAGATGAAATTTCATTTCATATTATTTATTAATAATTCAAAGCTTATTACATCTGAATTGTCAAAAAATGACAGCTGTCAGAATTCCGTCGAATTAAAAATCGGACTTTTAGTTTTTAGTTCTTTTTTATTTTAAACTACCGACACTATACAGGGTGTTAGGTAAATGGGTATATGAGCCGACACTAAGCCATGTTAACATGGTCATATAAATGGTATGGTGAAGTCAGAAAATTGATATCTTCATTTTAATTATTTTAATTTTCATACAAATAGGATTTTATAAAATTTATTTTGTATGAAAATTAAAAAATATAAAATCATGATATCAAATTTCTGACTTCACCATACCATTTATATGCCTATGTTAACATGGGCTAGTGTCGGCTCATATACCCATTTACCTAACACCCTGTATACCTACTAATAAAAATTGCCTACACCAGGGGTGGCCAATTTGATTAGACATAAGATCTACTGTCTACTAACGAAACCCTGGGTGATTTACCACTTACATACTTCTTGAAATCTTAAATGAAACAGCATAGTTATTAGTACACACACGTGTAAGTAGTATTTTTTGCCTTGCCATTGCCACGATCGACTGGACTAATAGTCGCGATCGACCGGTTGGCCACCCCTGGCCTACACCATCCACACTACAAATTGGGAGCGCCGGCATTCTTGCACATAAAACTAATAAGCAACTCGAACTTCGAACAACTATAATTAGCAATTCAAATAACATTGAACCAATAAAATCCTGGGTAGTCATCCCAACAACCAACAAAGACAAAATTCCACGCGGGCGAAGCCGCGGGCGGAAAGCTAGTAATAAATAAAAGTCAAAGGCTCAACACTCAAGTGATCCACGATAGCAAACAGATGTTGAGAGACCATATGGAACACTAATAAAAACCGCACTGCACTCTAACACTAATGTTATCTACATTAGTGTAATAATAACACCAAGCAGAAGATCGTCAATTCGATAAAACAACGTAGGTACCGCCATAGGTACTTCCTTTCTGTAAGAGATGTTTTAACTTAACATTGCGACGGTCATTTCCTTGAGTCTCTATTATAAAAGCCCTGCTCCACCTGCTGTCTGTAACGATTAAGACCTTTCACCTAAATAAATTGTGATAAAAAACAAGATGGCACCACCACAGTCACACGCACTATGTAGAATGAGCTTGTACGTACAGCTTGACAGCTTGGGAAGCCCTGGAATAGCGGGTATTTGAAGCTGATCTCTCCATCCACAATCGCAAAACGATAAATACGCCAATTAAAACGTCGATAAATTGTTGTAATAAAATCGTGTAGGGGTGATTACACGTAAACAAAGTGAGCATCTAAATGCGCACGTGAGGCGGTCGGGTCGCCGAACTGGACCGAGCGCTGGCGGCCGGAATCAACCCGCGATGTAAGTTTAAGAGTTGATTTTTAGTTGGCCGATAGTTGTGCCCGATTTTAAATTGTATGAAGAATCGGCCAAATCGAATCGGCGTAGTACATACATGCCCATACTGATCAACTGCCCGACTAAACTATCGGCCGACGAAAAATCAACGGTGTGCGCCTACTCTAACCTGTCGACAAAAAACCAGACAATAGAAGAAACAAATCAATTGTTAATGCCTTGTCATCATAACCGCGAAGTTATTAACATAAAGTATAATAAAATATTTAGTAGGTTACATATCTACTTATTTGTATTTTATTTTATGATAAATTCTTGGACATTTTTATACTCAATTTGCTGTTCTTCTTTCCGAGAATTGCAGCTGTATGATTTCTTTTGTTTATACAGACAGATGTTCGCAGAAGTAATAAAATAAATGAATTTCAAAACATTAGCGGCATTATAATACTTCGTTCGGTGTCTAATGTTCTGTCTTATATGAATGCATGTTATTATAAATTATTTCCCGGATTACATAACTACATAGTATCATAGTATGAAATAACTAGCGGCCGCCCGCGTCTTCGTACGCGTGGACCTCGTTTTACTCCTTAGTTAGTAAAATCTGTTGTTTGATATCATGTTGATAGATGGCGTTTCACGGCTTCCCCCGCATGAATATTTACGAACGTCAAAAACTGAGCCCCGATTACGGTAATTTTTAACGTCAACAATCCAGACACGCTTCTTGATTCTGCGATACGATTGGTCGTTCAACAGCGTACGTCAGCTGTTTTGACCAATCGTATCGCAGAATCAGAAACGCGTCTGGATTGTAGACGTTATAAAAGTTACCGTAATCGGGGCTCAGTAGTTTGTCCAGCGCTGTAGATTTTAACCAATGATGAATTCATAAGTGCCACTTGTGGTCTAAACTGAATAAATATTTTTGATTTTGATTTTGATTTTTGACGATAGATTGCGCTTTTTAGACACGTCTTATTTATTTATTGAAATTTATTTGCCACATATCGTCATAAATTATAGCCTATATGTTAATCTGGGTTATAAACAATAATACTATAAAGTTTCAACAAAATCCGTTCAGTAGTTTTTGAGTGAAAGATTAACAAACATCCAGACATCCAAACTTTCGCATTTATAATATTAGTAGGAGTAGGATTATATTAGTAAGTATACAAATAATACAAACTTCGATAGTCAACTGTTAACTTTGTACGGGTAGACAATTTTTTTAGAATTATCGCGATTTCATTTTCATCTTTGTTTTTTGGAAAATGTTTGTTATACA